AATTTCTGATATGAATTCAGGTTTAGAAGGTAATTTTAAATTTGTTGCTGCTGTTGTTGCTGTTGTTGTTCCTTTAACGCCATATTTATTATCAGTGACGACTTATCAACTTATTTTTTTTTTTTTGTAATCAGATGCGGATTTAATTTTACCTTCTGATAAATACGTGTCAAGTAAAATGGATTCACCTGTTAAAATAAGAGAGGGTATAGATAGAATATCAAGCACATCACCATTATCGGTTCCAACATTATTAAGAAAAGCATCAAGTGTGGCACCTAAACATCCAGCTTTGGCATTTAAAAGACATCCAAAAGAAAGAAGTTTTTGTTTTATTAGTTTCGAGTAAGGATAATAATAATAATAATAATAATAATAATTTAACGTTATTAAAAATTTTTTAAATTTAAATTTCAATTTTTTGTAAGGGAATATTATCGTCTTGCAAAAGTGGCGGCAAAAGGATTTTTAAAATTAGGTTTAGAAAGGCATCATTCCGTTGCCCTTATAGGATTTAATGCACCCGAATGGGTTATTGCTTATTTGGGAAGCATTCTTGCCGGGTACGTAAGAAAATATGTACAATTTCGTTCCTCCCTCCCCACCCCACTCCCCGTCCTAATTAATCATATATACATGATAATAATTATTTAAAATGGAAAAAATTGGGAAAAGAGGAGTAGGTTGTGGTATATATTCGACCAATTCCGCTGAAGCAACCCTTTACTGTTTACAAGCGGCATCCGTTGATATTGCTGTCGTCGACAACAATATTCAAGCTCAAAAAATTTTACAATATAAACACAGATTACCAAATTTAAAAGCAATAATACAATATTTTGGAAGACCCTTAGTACAAAACGTTTTAAGCGTAATTATCATCATTTTTTTTTAACTATTAAAAATTGTTTATTAACAAACAGCAACAACAACAACAACAACAACAACAACCGATTTATTAATTTCAGTGGAGAGAATTTATTAAAATCGGTGAAGCACAATCAAGTGAAAAATTACATGAAGTTCGCAAAACAATTGCAGTAAACGAATGTTGCACAATTATATTTACGGTTTATTTAATTTCAATTTATTTAATAATAATATTAATTATTATTATTATTATTATTAATAATTAATTAATAAATAAAATGTTATCAATAGTCAGGTACAACCGGAAATCCGAAAGGAGTCATGTTAAGCCATGATAATTTAATATGGAATGCATATTCAGTAGCCATTAATCAAGACTTAATATCAACGGAAAAAATAATAAGTTATTTGCCTTTAAGTCACGTGGCTGCTTTAGTAAATATTATCATTCAAGAAAATAAATAAATAAATCTTACATAAGTTAAATAATAATAATAATAATAATAATTATTATTATTATTATTATTATTAGATGGTAGACGTTTATTGTCCTTTGATGGTAAGAGCAACCGTGTATTTTGCCGAAACGGATGCACTCAAGGGTGGTTTAGTAAGAACCTTATTAGAAGTTCGACCTACAAGGTTTTTAGGCGTACCTAGAGTATGGGAAAAGGTATCGGATAAAATAAAACTTGCCGGAGCAGAATCAAATTTTATAAAAAGGCGAATCGTGGCTTGGGCTAAAAATCAAGGAATACAAAGAAATTTAGATCTTATAAATGGGTACATAAAGAAAAAATTTGTTTTTTAAATTAATAATAATAATAATAATAATGTGTTATTATCATTATTATTTTATATTATTTTAGGATAGATAGTCCGAATTTAAAATATTTATTGGCAAAATCATTAATATTTAAAAAAATTAAAAGTAGATTAGGTTTTGATGCTTGTACAACATTTTGGTCTGGTGCCGCACCCCTATCCGAAGGAGTTAAATTATATTTAACCAGTTTAGATATAGTCATCTTGGAGGTTGGTAGTAGTGGTAGTAGTAGTAGTTAAAACTTCATTATTATTTGTTTGTTTTTGTTTTCGTCGTGAATTAAAACAAAAAAATTATACATGTATATATATATATATACATATATATATATATGTGAATGACGATTGAAAGGTTTACGGTATGTCGGAAAGTAGTGGACCTCACACGGTTAACACAAACGTTGCTTTTAAACTTGATAGCGTCGGTAAAACACTACCGGGTACAATGACAAAAATTTACAATCCGGACAGTAATGGAGAAGGAGAAATATTATTAAACGGAAGAAATATTTTCATGGGTTATTTAAACGATTTAAAACAAACGGAAGAAGTTGTCGATCCCGATGGTTGGCTACACACGGGCGACATTGGTAAATTCGACGATCAAGGATTCCTATACATAACCGGAAGGAAAAAAGTTAACAAGTTTTTTTTTTATTATTATTTTTTCTTCTTATAAATAATAATAATAATAATAATATCGTTTGTATATACATCAGGAATTATTGATAACGGCCGGTGGAGAAAATATATATCCTGCAGTAATCGAACAAAATGTAAAAGCTCAACTTCCGTTTTTGGGTCACGTCGTACTTATATGCGATAAAAAAAAATTTTTATCTATATTAATAACATTTTCGGTGAGTTAAAATCACGCACGCGCAACAATTATTATTATTATTATTAAAAAAAAACTATAATTTAGAGCGAAGAAGATGTAGATACTGGAGAACCACTGGATCAACTTTCAGAACTTACAATTAAATGGCTTAAAGACTTAAATCTTACATATACAAAAAATTCAGAAATTCTTACATCAGGACCACATTCAAAGGTTTTTATTATTTACTTTTACACACACACATATATAAATTTATTAAAAAACAAAATGGCGTAAAATGATTTGAAAACCTTTTTTTTCTATATATATATAAAGATTTTAGAATCGATACAAAGAGGAATCGATGAGGCAAATAAAAAAGCAATTTCAAATGCTCAAAAAATACAAAAATTTAGAATATTACCAAGAGATTTTTCAACTATAACTGGAGAATTAGGTATTTTCATAACATTATCATCATTATTATTATCATTCGCATACTTATTAAGGTAAAAGGTTTTTTCCAGGTCCCACGTTAAAACTCAAGAGAAATTTTATAAATGAAAAATATAAAGATGTTATTGACAAAATTTACGATACGTAATTAAAAAAAAAAAAAAAAATATTAAAATAAATTTATTGTTGTTTGTGCTTCGGCAAATTTCCCTCCCTCCTTCCACCCCTTCCCCCTTCAAATTTCAAATCCGTATTTTCCTATCTAATCTCTCACTCTCTCTCACACACACCTATTTAACTCATTAGATGAGATACACTTATGTATATAAACATATAAAAGAAAAAAAAGAAAAATAATAATAATTATTATTATCAATAAGTGATGATTTATTTTAATTCTTATCATAAAAAAATTTTTTTTTTTTAAACGCAGAAGCAAACAAAAAGTGTATTATTATTATTATTATTATTATTATTATTATTATTATTATTATTATTATTATTACTATTATTATTATTTATTAGTAGAAAATAAAATTTTTAAATTGACAAAATAAAAAATAAGAAAAAAAAATTATAAATATATATATTTTAATGACTTAATAATTAAAAAAAAAATTAAATGCAGCAACAGCAGCAGAAGAAAAATAAAATTTTTCAACGTCATATTAAACTCGGGTTCGACAATAATAATAATAATAATAATAAGTAATAATAATAATATCTTCACGTACACGAAAGTATAGAAATTTTAATTTAATCAAAATCGTTTATACAATCGTGTGTTTGTCCGTGTTTTCGTAATAATAATAATAATAATAATTGATAATGAATTTGCTGCTATTTATCATTTGTAAAAAATATAAACATAAACATAAACATAAACATTAAAGTGTGTTTGTGTTTTTTGTGTTTTGTGTCTACTAATTAAAATATTACAATTCTTTTATGAAAGCTTTTTTTTTTATTTTTATTTTTTTTCATTTTTTCATTTAGTAAAAATTATTATTATTATTATTAGTATGCAGAAAGTTTTTTTTTTTTTAATGTTTTATTAAATTTTAAATTACAAATAATAAAGAAAAACAAAATAAAAAAAATTATTGTTGTTGTTGTTATAAAAAAAAGAGGTGGAAATGATTACACATCTCCATTTTTTTTTTTCCCTCCAAGTCGTTCGATGAAAAGTTTGAAAAATAATAATAATAATAATAACTACACGAAAAGCTAAATTTATGAAAAGCAAAACAAACAAACAAACAGAAAAAAAAAAAAAAATTATTAAAATCTAAAAAAAAAAAAAAAAAAATTATTAATAATAATAATTATTTGTTAGTTATAAATTTAAATGTGTGTGTGTGTCGACGAGTCATTTTTCAAACTTTTCATCAATAAAATTAGTTATAATAATAATAATAATAATAATACTTTGATGATGATTGTGAATTTAAATTAATTAATAATGATAATAATAAATTTAGACAAAACACATTAGTATAAAATATTAATAATTTAAATTAAATGAAATTATGAACGTCTTAAATATTATAATAATAAATTTTTTTTTTGTTTTGTTATTGGAAAACATAAAAAAGTGAGTTTTACTCGTCGTGTTAGTCACAACCTCCTTTTATTTATAATTATTACTCGGAGAATGAAAAATAATATAAAAATTTAATAAATTAATTTTTTCTTATCAAATTTTTAAATGTTAAGAATCGTTTATATTATAATAGTACAAAATTTAATTTTTTAAACGTATTCGATCGTAAAAATATATATATATATATATTAATATTTTATATTATATAAAATTTCATCATTTTTATTATATATATATAGAAATAAAAAATTTCGTTTTGAAAATTATTTATTAATTTTTTTTGAAATATTTTACGTATAACAATTCATAAACAATTTATATATTTATATTTGAAATCTATTATGCCATTTTTAAAAAAAATTTTAATATAAACGATTTTTTACATTTAAAAATTTTTCATTTTGTACTTTTTATCTGACTTCTGATTTTATTATTATTATTATTATTATTTTTTATTTAATAAATCTCTTTTAGACAAAAAAAATTAAAAATAAAAATGATGAAACCCCAACAACATTATCCTGTTTTTTTTTTTTTTTTTTTATTGTTATGTTTACCTAATAAGAAAAATGTCCGCCGTCGAGGTAATGCAATTAAAATTTCAAATATTACGTCAATAATAAAAAAAAAAGTAGTAACAGTTCCGTGTGACAAACAAAAAAAAATTTTCCAAGGGATCCTTCTTCACCGTCGCGAAAAATAATAAAAATAATAAAAAAAATTATTTGCACGGTTCGAAATTTTCATCCTATTGAAAATATATTAAGAACGTAAACCTCCTACCGTACATAATCAGAAGTCAGGTAAATAAATTTAAAGAGAAAAAAAAAAAAAAAAATCAAGACAAACGCTTATGACACAAAAACCTTTTTTTTTTTCTTTTTTCTTTTACCAACCATTATTAAAAATCTATCAAAATAAAATAGAAAAAAAAAAAAACAAATAAATTTTCCAATCATCTTTTTTTCTTAACCGTTATTAATAATAATAATAATATTAGTTTCATATCAATTCTAATTCGATTCTCTTATACAAAAAAAAAAAAAAACAGATATAATTATCCCAAAGCTTTTTGTCCCACACCTTAAATTTAACTGAAGCTTATTGTGTAAAAACTTTTCCTTCTTTAAGCTATTATTACTCTTATTAATATACTCATTATTCCTACTTAATTAATTAATTAAAAAAAAAAAAAAATTAAAAATTGAAACGGCAGTTATGCACTATAAAAAAAAAAAAAAAAAATTATATATACTTTCTTTCTTCCTTTTTCCTTTTTTTTCCTTTTTCTTTCCTTTTAAATTGAACCTTTGAATGTTAAATTTTTTTTTTTTTTTTTTTATTACATTGTTCGGCAAGAATCTCGTTTGGGATCCCCATCCTGTGTTTCTTCGCTTCCTTCTCTTTCTCTTCTGTATGCAGAACTAGAATACTGAATCCTTTGTCTTGACCTCGATGCAACTTCCTAAAAAATTTATTACAAAATTATTATTATTAGTTATGGGGGTAAATATGGAAGAGTGTAGTAAACAATAATGATCGACTCACTTCTCCTTCGTTGTTTACAAGAATGGTTATTACGGAATCACCCATAAACCATTTTTGTTTCATGACAATGTGTTCTGGAGGGTTGTGAGCACGACCGGAATCCATCGACCAAACCGTCACGTTTCCTTTTCCGTCGATTTTGACCGATCTGTGAAATTTAAACGTCGTCTCGGAATCTTCGGTTCCCGCTGAGTGTTTAATGGACCATCCGCTCAACGAGAGTTCTTTGTCGCTTTTGTTGTGCAATTGTATGAATTTTCCCTCGCGGTGATCCACATCGCTTATTTCTATATCTCCTTTAGCCTCCCCGGATACTTGAAAGCTGTCGGCTTCTTGGGATTCGTCGACGAACACGCGGCGTCTTTTAGTTGGGCCTTTCCCAATGGGGATACGACGAATGGGAGTGCCGCGACGCGTGAGTTGAATTGACGACGACGAAGAGGACGTGGTATTTAAACCTCCCATACCGGACATGCCGCTCGCACTTCCGCTACCGCCGCCACCACCACCGCCACCACTTCCTTGACTCATGTTTAATCTGAAAAAAAATTAATTTTTTTTTTATTCTGAATTTTTAATTAAGAGGAGACAACGGAAAGCATAGAGTAAAAAATTTTTTAAACACAATTGTATCTTTTCCTTAGATATTTACAAACACAAAAAAATTCTACTTTTTTCATTTTTTTTTACCTTCATTTTTATTTTTTAGGGATTTCTTTTGAATCAAAACAAATTCATATCGGGGATTTAGTATAATAATTATTTCTTTATGGATTTCTTTAACCCAATTTTGTTATGTCACGATTTAGAATTTCTTATTCTGGGACAAGATAAAATTAGACTGAAAAAATATGAGTATGAGAATTCATCATCATTGAGAAGAAAAAAAACGTAAAAATAATAATAATAATAATTGAAAAATAATTGTCTGAATTTTTTTTTAATTAATAAGGCAACGAGAATCAAGGAAATCGATTGTTTTTTTTTTATTTTTTTTTTTATTACCTGCTTTCTTCAAATTCAAGTAGTTTACGATACGCAGATATTTCCGAATCCAAGGCAACTTTGATATCCATAAGCTCGTGATAGTCTTTCAATTGATCCGCCATTTCTTGCCTGGCTTTCATCAATTCTTGTTCCATCAAGGCTAATTGTTCCAAACCTCGAGTTCTTTCCGCATCCAACAGTTTTTCCAATTCTTTTATTCTAATATTCAATGCTGCATTGGCTGATTCCAGTTCGCCTACTTGTCTGTTCAACGAATGGTATTTCGCTTGCATGGATCTTAATTCTTCAGTGTTTGATTGGGCAGCTGTAGCCATAAAGTGATCTTGAAGATTTTTAATCTGTTGGACGCAAACCAATAAAATCATTAATTTTTTTTTTTTTTTTTTTTTTTTAATTTCTTTAAAAATTTTTTTTTTTTTTTTTTTTTACTCACTTTACTTTCGTATAAGGCCATTATTTCTTCTCTGTTAGCTAATTGCTGTTGTTCGTGTTGCTCTCTGAGTTCTTGAAGAGCTGCTTGTAATTTATCTTCGTACTCGATGGTGAGTCGTCCATCTAATTCGCTGATCTCTTCGCTTCTCTTCGTTCTTAGCTCGGCTATTTCCTTTTGATACATGGAAGTTTTAAAATTTAATTCTTCGGTCAAACTTTGAAGTTTATTTTCCAGCTCTACGCGTGTCAAAGTTTCATTTTCGATATATTTCTTTGTCATTTCGTTGGCTTTTCTCAATTTATCGCACTCTTTGAGAGCTTCTTTGAGTTCGTCTTCCAATTTCTTTTTCTCAGCCATTGCTTGATTGTATTTTGTTTGTAAATCAGTGGCACGGTGTTCTGATATGGTTAGACTTGTTTCCAAACTTCGACAATCTTTTATTTTTTTATCCAAACTACAAATAATAATAATAATAATAATAATAATAATAATAATAATAATAATAATAATAATAATAATAATAGTAAAAAAAAAAAGTTATAAAATAAAGGAAAAGAAAAATCAGGACAAATTTTAAATAAAATTGCGTGTTGTGCGAAGAAACTTTCGTGCAGGAAATTTTTACTTTTTCCTGTTTTTTCACCCCCCCCCAAAAAAAAAAAAAAAAAAAAATTTACACGAAAGGTACGATGTAAATTCGATATTATTTTACGTATCTAGGAAACGAAAGGGAAAAAAATTAAAAAAATTAAAAAAATAAACTTTTAACCCAGAAAGAAAAAGAAATTGAATTAATTTTTTTTTGTTTCTTCCACCCAAAAAATATATAAAACAAAAAAAAATTTTCTCGTCATCATATATGTATAAGTTTCATCATGAATTCCTTTCAATAAAGTTTATGTATAAATAAAAAGAGAAACTTAAATATTCTTTGGAAAAAAAATCGAACGTTTTGTCTTAATAATTTTTAAAACATATTTTAAAAGTTGATAACATACGCAACAACGCAGTCATAGTCATTTTTACTCGCCATGAAATTTACCGGTATTCTTTTTTGAGGTCAAATACCTAATATTCGTAGTACTCGTTCTATAATCCTTGTAATAATAAAACATTTTATTTAAAAAATATTCGATATCGATTTTATTCGGTTACCAATTTTTTAATTACCAGAAAAAAAAATTTTCAATTTAAATTTTCTCATTTTTTAATAAGTAGCATTGTTTATATATATATAACATAAATAATTTTAAATGAATTTAAGTAACGAAAAGAAATCAATAGAAAAATATTAAATAAATAAATAAAACAAATAAAAATTCATTTAAGTGGGACAAATTTTTCCAAAACGCAAGGTCAGATTATCGAAATTTCGGGTCTTTTTCCCTCATGGTCAACGAATAATAATAAAAAAGAATGTAAAAAAAAAAAAACCGGAATCACGCAAAAGAGTGAAGGTACAGGATTTTTTCCAAAAAAAAATTTCAAAAAAACAATTAATTAATTTTTTCTAGGTTATTATGTTTTTCTTTTTTAATCCCATAAATCAATTTGTTTTTAAGTTTCCCCTCTCCGACCCACAAAAAAAAAAAAAAAAAAAAAAAAAAAAAAAAAAAAACCTTTATTCTTTTCGGAATAAAAAATTAAACGATTTTTATATATTATAATTTTGTAGGAAAAACGTTTTCAAAGGTAAAATTAAGTAAAAATTCATCGAACCAAAGCATAGGAAAAAAAATTATAAAAAAATAAGGCAAGCCCTTGAATAATAATAATAATAATAAAATCAAAAGAAGTTTCGTTGCAATGTGATAATTAACCGTTTTTTTTTTTTTTTTCATTTTCAATTTTCATTTATTTATTTTACTGTAAAGTACTTAAAAATATACACCCAAACACACGCACACGCACGCACACACACACACACACACACACACGTATACATTTTAACGTGAACGAATGACATTCTAAAAAAAAAAAATAATCGATTCGAAATTCTTTTCGTAATCTAATAAAAAATATTGTTTTTTTGATATTTATAGATGTTACAGTTCCATAAAATAAAAATGGCGGAAGCAATAATAAGATAATTCGTTTAAAAAAAAAACGGGACAAGGCTGCCCGTATTTAAAATACGGGTCAGGGCAAAAGAAGGAAAATAACAGATGAGAATTTTTCTTTTTTTAATAAAAATTGAAAAAAAAAAAACCAACAGTCTCAAAACGAATTGCCAAAAAAAAAAAAAAAAAAAAACTTTAATTTATTATTTATTTTAACTTGGAAACATACTTTAAGGAGGTCTACAGTCATATATATATATATATATAAAACAACTTCGAGGTGGCTTACAATAATTTTTTTACATATTGTCAACGAAAATAAAAGAAAAAGTTTTTTCAACGATGATGATGATATCATTTGTAGTAAAACTATTCAGTTCAAACAAGGTCTAAGACCAAAAATATTACTGACGTAATGGATATTATTATTACTAAAAACAACTTCTTGTATAAATTATAAATTTTAATTCCTCGAGCCGTTAAAAGTTCACACATGAGTTTTATTAAATACAACATCGATAAACCGCAAAACATGTCACGGCTAACTAATTTTAATTTATAATAATAAAAAAAAAACAAATTGTTTAAATAAGTAAGATAAATGAAATAATGCAAAGAATATGTGATTTTATGAGATTGCACATAAAAATGTGTTTCGACATGGAAAAACTATTATTAGTATACAATTTTTATCAAAAGTATTATTATTTTTAGTATTAATGTTAGGATTAGATTTACTTTTAGTATTAAAATCCCAAATACTTTAACCATTTTAAATCGTAATGGTTTACTTATTGTCTTTTAATTTAAACGAGTAATTTATTAAAAATAGTACGAGTAAGAAATTTCAGTAATGTTTAAGAATCAATATATATATATAAAATTTTAGATTTTGATTGTAGTTATTGATTATGAAAAAAAAAGCAAGCATCCATTTGAAAATTTGGATAGACGAGACCATTTGTAAATTATTATAATAGTCAGAATATTATGATAATATGATAACGATAACAGAAATTCAAGAATTTTAAAAGCATTTTAACTTTCAGTATTTTTTTATTCAATACGCAGGGTTAAACAGCCAACTCGATATTAAGTTTAAAATGTTTACTAATACCAATGGCACAAGTTTAACAGTTAAATTTAGTTGAAATTTATTAATATATTATATGAATATAAATTGTGGTATGTTATATATATATGTTAACAAGCGTTCAAGATATCACCTATCTAAGGAGTGAAAAATAATATAAAACCTTACCTTGATCTTAAGTCATCATTTTCTTCCATTAAACGTTTATTTTCAATTTCTGCTTGTGCTCTTTCTTTAGCAATATCATCCAAAAGTCTTCTGGCATCAGCAAGCTCTTGATCATACATAGATTTGAAAGAAGTAACTTCTCGGGAAACTGTTTCCTGAGAGACTCTAACTTGGCGAGATAATCTGTTATTTTCTGCTTCCAGTGCACGAACTTTATCCATATAACATGCCAACCGATCATTTAAATTTTGTAATTCAACTTTTTCCTGAAGCCGACTAAGCCGGGTTGGGCTGAGCGGGCTTCGTGGCCGTTGAGCTTGCCCTAAAGAGCTTCCTCCCAAAGGGGTAGAATAAGCCATTCCGCTTGAAGAAGACGATGTAGTTACCGATGTCGATTTTCTTGTTGTTTTCGACATTTTAAACAAAAAATATTTTCACTTCACGCAAATAATGAAATTACGGTCGGCGTCTATTCAGGTTCACACACACACTCTCATGAAATGACGCAACAATATAAAAATGACGTCACCATCTCAAGGAAAATATTTCCCTTGAAGTAATACCAACTGCAAAAAAAATTTACTCTATGGCAGCAAATTCAAAATGGCGGCTAGTTTACTTCAAGTTAACGGTCGAGTTTAGTTATAAAAAATTTTTTTCTTATATAAATACATAGAAATTTGTAATTAAAAATATTTTATTATAAAAGTTATATTTAAAGTTAAAGTTTATAATAGTGGTAAAAATAATTTATACTAATTATATTTTATTGAATTTAAATGAAGTTATTATATAATAAAAAATTTAATTTCAGTTTAAAAATTTTAAAAGTTATCAATTTTTTTAAAATGAAGTTTTGTAATATTTCATATAAATAAAGTAATTACCGGAGAGTTTTATTTTATATATTAAGTATCTAAAAATTATTTGCTTAACTTTTTTTTACAATATTTATTTATTAACTATAAGTTTTCTCAAGTCTTATTTATAATATTTTTATTATTATGATTATAAAATAACATATGTAATATTATAATATTACATATAATTAAATAATTAATATTATAATATTAATTATATAATATAATAATAATATATAATTATATAACATATAATTATTAAATTTTATTATATATATTATTATAATTATATTATTATATATACTTAAAAATAATATTTAATATTTTAAACTGATTAATTGAAAATATGATTAATATATGAGTTTCTAAATAATTCTGTAAATTATTCGACTGAAAAAAAATTTTTCTAGAAAATGTAATGAATACAGGTGACAGATAAAATTTTTTAAATGGTTACTAATGATTAATATTACTTTTTTCTTTTTCCATGAGTAGTTGCTACAACTGGAGTTGTATGTACTTTTTGAGATAATTTATTCATGTAGTACAGGGCAGGTATAGAAAATAGTACGCATGTTGTAATACAAACTCGATGAATCATACTTGCTGCAAAAAGTGATACCGCTAAACAAAAAGATACTTCCGGAAATAATTTCGTCTGAAAATTTTTTCCAAAAACTGTCGTCTCAATATTTCCTACAGCCTAAAATAATAAAAATAAAATAAAATTTTTTATTAAATAAGATTTTAATGATTTTCCTTTGAGCAGATTATCGAAAAGGTTGCTTAAATTTTTTAATCATAAAAAAAAAAAAAAGGTTACCGTCAAAATCAGAACGAACAATATAGAAGACAAATATCCACCAAAAATGGTTTGTAATGCCGTAGCGGCTAGCCAATGGCGATAAATTTGCATGCCGCAAAATAGTACAATCGCAAGCATGGATGAAAGAATAATTGATGTCTCATTTCCTACACCTAAAAAATTAAATGACAAGTGGTGTAAAAATTTCAGTACTAAAATAAAACATTTTATGTTAAAGACATTTATCGGTTTATCGGTTTAACCAAATAAGGTTAGTATTTGTAAAAATTTGTATTCTTGTTAAAAAATAATTAAAAATATATCAAATTTCTAATAAACATATATATGTACCCATTTTTAAATAATTTATAAAATTAAATAAAACTAAATATATAAAAAAATGATAAATTTAATTTGAAAACTTGAAATTTGTTTATAACATCAAAAAGAAGCTAATAACACGTCTAAACTATATCAGTAGATGTAATGTCATAGAGTAAATAAATTAAGTGACATTGACAAAGATGCCGTGACTTTTATCTTATGTATTAAATGTATATTTTTTTGAATTAAGACGTAACTTATGGTTTATAAATTCCAGTGCATTAATTTTTAATATTAAAATAATGTTGTGAAAAATGAATGAAAAAATATATTAATTTTAAATTGAATGTGGTTTTACTGTATGCGATAATTAAATATTATAAATTTTTATGTCGGCTGATTACTCGATTTAATTATTTGAAATCTTTTTAATAATGTATCTTTTTTAATAATGAAAAAGTGATTTATTTTCGTGTTTATTTAAATAATAATTTAATTCTGGCGGGAAATTTTTACCTATTTTTAACTATGTTTTAAAAATAAAGCGGGCGGTGATCAATTCGAAGTCAAATCAAATCAGCCAAAATGGCGAATCCTCGAAAATTTAGTGAAAAAATTGCATTACACAATCAAAAGCAAGCAGAAGAAACGGCTCGCTTTGAACAAATAATGAAAGAAGTGTCAGACGCAACGAACAAAGTAAGCTTTCATAATCAGTTCATTTCAATTCAATTTTATTTTCATAACATTAGTAATTATTTTTGCACATAATGCGTTCGTTAACACAAACAAATGTAAACATGGTCAATGTAAAATTAACAAGCCTAATTATAGTACCTCTTATAAAATGTATTACGTGTATTTCTTACTATTACCTATTTATTTATTTTTATTTTTTAAATAGAATTCTATTTATTTCTTTATCTTATTTTTATCATGGAGTAGAACAAAAAAAATGTTATTAAATATCAGTTATGAATAAAACTGAATTAATTGTAGATAACTGGTATATTAATTTATTTTAATTAATTTATTATTATTCAAAATCATTCAGTGTCTCATGTCTAAGAATTTTATTTTATAATTTAATTTTTTATGCTTTAATTTGTTTTTAATAATTGTTTATTTCAAGTATTTGTTCATTTAGCTTAGAAAAATTACTTTATCCTAATTATTTAAAATAAAAAAAAATTTATTCAACTAATTCTCTAATCCTTTTACTATTGCTTATTCATTCTGCTTGTTATTTCTTATTAATACATTTATTGTTTGCTTAAAATTCATGGTGAAATTAATCTTTTGCATATTTTTCTGGCTGTGGGTTCAAATTGCAGACATTGATTTTATTTTTTCAGATGAACAGTCTTGCTAAGCAACATCTACATATAAACCCAACTCTTGGTTCTTTTCGAGGTGGGTCACTGCCCAATGTCAATCATGTTGCTAGTAATACTGTTGAAAATAAGGTAGGTTACAGAAATTTAACTCAAAATTTTAATTTTTCTTTTATTTTTTGTTTTTCCCATTAAATTAATATTCATTTTTGTTTTTATTCGAAATTTTCTTTTTCTTCGCTTAGCTTGGGAAATATACTAATTACATTTCATTCACTAACATCGTTTTCTTATTTCAAAAAATAATTTTTTGTTTTTCGGTGAATAATTACCAACACTAATTTATGTAATTTTTATTCTGGTTATAATTTTATTTATTTATTTATTTATTTAATCTATTTTTTAAGAATGATGTTAATTGTTACTTTGTTTATGTGACCTTTGAATTTTTTTTTTTTTTTTTTTTTTAATATATTTATCGATATAGTAGTTGGTTATTTTTAAGTTTATTAAAAGAACCAGAAATGAATAGTTGTTGTTGACCTTGAAATTTTTTATATTAATATATTTTTTTAATATTTTTTATGGCAAAATACTCCAAAAAAAAAAAAAAAAAAAAAAAAAAAAAAAGCTCAATTATAAATTTAAAAACTTATTTCACATAAAATTTTGTATTAGTTTTTAAAATAAAACATTCTTGACTTTTTCAAATTTTTTTGGATTCTATCTATTGTAAAAATAAAAAACAAACCACCAAAAAATGGTCTTTAATTTGTAGTTGGCCTTACGCCAGTTCTAGAAAAAATAAAAAATAAATAAATAAATAAATAAGTAAACAAAATCTATAA